GCTTGTCCCCATATGCTAGCTCAAAGGTGGGACTGTGTTACTGAACTGTAGCTCCCAGCTTTCCCCACCCTTAGACATGCTGTCTCAGGCTTCTGGGACTTGCAATTCAACTACATCTGGTAGGCTACACAGTTTCCACCACTTCTGGGCCAGCTAATGACTTGGGCATACCCTTCAACATTTCATAGATTAAAATTGGGACAAATATCTCCAAGCAACATTGTCAAGATGGCAAAAGTTAGTAATGAGGAGGTACAGACAGGCTAGGAGAGACTGCAACAGTTTGCCTTTTTTGTGCCTACAAGGACAACAATATTCTACTCCCTTGTCTCCTGTTTCCCCTCTCCCCATTGAGTTAATTGAGTATAAACTACTTTGCACTTTGAACTCCATTTGCACCAACTGTACTAAGCTGAGGACAAAGAGCAAAAGTGAGAATAGGAGAGAGAAACTGGGACCTTTTAAAAGCTTCTGAAAATGGGAGATAAGAGAGGATTACTCAGGACTATTCCTGCCAAATCAGGACATTGGAAGGTATGGCATGATTCCCATGATGCTTTTAGAAGTGATGGGACAACAGTCATTGAGAATTCCTAGGAGGTGAAGATGGGAAAGGTTTCCATCTTGCTTTCTCCTCCCACACCTAGGGATTTCAATGCAGCTGATATTGCTGTACAGCCATTTCGGTAGGATAGCTAGGAGATGAATCACATGAAATCTTCTCCCACACTGTAGTTATCCCACTGCCATGATAGCTATTACCTTTCCACCAACAGAAATACTGGTAAAAGCCTCTCACTTCACAGAAAAACTGGTGTTTGAAGAGACTTGAGCTTAAAACAGGCAAATAGAGGGCATCACCTCTAATTACTGAATGAATACATTTGTGGCATTTGTGGCTCATAATCACATGGAAAGACTTCCTGAGCACATCCAGACACTGTTTAGTCTGCTTAGTTTTAGCAAGGATGCAGCATTGTGTGCCTTGGCACCTTGTCATAGGATATGTGACTGCCAGAGCTGTCCCGAGCATACGTTCCTTCTACATAACAAGCAAACCTGATAATGAAATAATTAAAATATCGCTTATCATACAGCTCATGTATACCCTATTAAAGAGGCTCCCTGCAACCAATTAATCATTACATTCCTATTGGGATAAAAGGGTTTTTTTTTTCCCCTGCCAGCAAAAGGAAAGCAGAGAGGGAGCCAGCCTAGTCTCCTATGGAAGGGAATGTTTCAGCTTGGAAGCAGCCACTAAAAAGGCCCTCTCTTGTGTCCTTACCAAATGGACCAGTGGTGGTTGGACTGAGAGAAAGGATCTTAAGACTCAAGTTGTTGCCTTGATGTGGAAAAAAAAACCCTACTGCCATATACAAGAAACAGTATCTTTGGAAACTGTAGCACATTTTGCTTTCTTGGTCCTTTGTAGGATTGTTCTGTTGCTCCACTTTGGGGCTTTCTTGGGAGACCATAGTGCTCCTGCAGTCCATATGTTTACAGACCTTCAGTGTGTAACAGTCTATTTGAATAACAGATGAGTTCAACATCTGGACTTGTGCATACAATCCAAAGTACTATGTCAACATTTAATTATTTTCTTTAGATAACCTGCCTTCTTGCTGGTGGAGTGTGTGCCCATGGATCCTTATGGAGAGACCACTATCCCTTAACTGTGAGCTGTGGACTCAGCTGTTCTTATATTGCAAATATATACGATAGTTATTTATATGTTCCCTCTGAATAAGAAAGATAAAATGAATTGTGGCTTCTTTCTCAGAGACTTCTGCTTTGAAAATCATGGTCGTGAACCTATTACACAAACAAACAAATAATAGTGAGGCTCCTACCCATCTATTTCACCTTTTCCTTCTCTCTCCTTTTCATATTTCTATGAAGATTTTCTTCAGAAGGAAGCTGGCTTAATCCCATTATTATTTTTATTATTTCAAAAATTAAAGACCTGGATAAAATAAAATCCAAAAATGCTTTGAAACTGGAGAGTAAGTGAATAACAGAATTAATCAGAATCTTCAAAAATGACTTGGTAATTTCATAAATCTTCTGACTTCTGTAATATACAGCTAATAAAATAAGACTGCATTTTTTTATTTTGAAGAGAACAGTGGAAAGTTGGCAGAAACTAAGATTTTACAGTGAAGTAGGAAAGCGAACAAGTTGTAAATGACTCTAATATCTTCCAGATGGCACATTTTTACTTGGGGACTGGATTTAGAGTAATTAAAGGCATGTGAATTTTTCCTATAAAGACTGAACTTCACCAGCTTGACACTGGAAAGCTCCATCAACTCTGAAGTCTTTAAACTGCTAAGTGTATACATTCCATCCTTTTGCCCCTTTTTGCATTTGTGAAGATTTCTTATATAATGAAGAGAGGGTTTTTTGGTAGGGAAAGGGTAAGATGTATCATTGAAAAAAAATTAAAATAATGTAATATTTTTCATAACTAAAATCTGTCACTTTAGTGCTTCTGTTCTCAAGCTCAAGCAATTCATTTGTTATCAATCCCACTGCTAATTAAAATTGTCAGTAAGGGAGTTGAGTAATCTCCTCAGAAAAATCTATTGTATAAATAGATCTCTTGCACATAGAGAATCAGCATGGTGTTAAGAACTTAACATAGAGAGACAAGAAAGGACAAAACTTCAAAGGGTAGAAGTTGGTACTTTACCTTTCTGATTTAGGGCCTTCACACATTGGCGAGAAGAACATAGTATCTAACATATACTCTGTAAATGAGGCGAGGTAATGACATGTTGTTATCATCCTAGTGACCCAGAGAGCTTTCTGACATGATGGAGATTTGAATCTTGATCTCCCTGGTCCTGGTCCAACACTTTCAATAGCTCATTCAGTGGTTAGGTTGTACTCAATTGATGTTTGTTCTGTCATGAAATTAAGGTGATCAACCTACATGAGAAATTTACACTCCCCTTTTCTCAAGTATTTTTTTGATATGCAATTGCTTACCAAATGATAATGAGAATAGTCTTCAATACTTGGCCAAAGTGGAAGATGACAGTGAGGACATGGTAGGGACTTGAAGGGATAGCATGCTGTGAATGTGTGGTGTACAATAGCAGAAGTCTAAATCTAATTGTAGTCCCAACTAGAGCAGAGTCATTGAATCAATTGCTGAATGATAAGTCAACACTTCTGTAAATACGATTGATCCAGTAAGTCTACTCTAGTTTATACATATGTAGAGAGGTTCTGTAGCACCTTTGAGACCAACTGAAATAAACAAAGAAATTGGCAGCATGAGCTTTCGTAGACTTCATGGGCTATGCAGGCAGGCAGCGCTGGGCTGTCCCTGCTAGCAGCATATCGGGGCCATGGCAAGCCCATGCCACGGCCCTGATCCTTCCTTTTGCTGCCGCAAAAGAGCAGCAAAATACCACTCCTTTTATGGGCAGCAAAAGGCCACCCTAAGAGCCAGCGCCATGGCTCTTCCGCACCCTTTCGGTGCAGTCTGTCTGCAAGCTGTAGCTGCCCTGCCCCAACTTCACCCCCAGGCCAGCCCTTTAGGCCTCTTCAGTCTACTTCTTGAGATGGTTTTGGTGGAGTGGAAGCCAGGGACAGACAGGAGGGCAGGACTTGAATGGAAGAAAACTGGAAAAGAATGTGGGCTACTGCAGACCTGGTTAGCATGAGGAAGAACTTATAATTCTTTCATAGATGAATACCCTGACTTTTAAGACTAGAGACTAGATGGATGACCTGTCAGTTTCAGTTACTTCGACATTTTAATTTTAAAAACCTATAGTATTTTCCAACCCAAATGGGAAGGGATTTGTGGGTTTTGGTCAATTCTTATAAAAATAAACTGAAATGAAATTATTGCATGTTCCTATAGAAAACATTGAACAGTAAGAAAATAATACAGCACCATCTATTGGTTGAAGAAACCACTCACCTATGCAGTACATCATTACTTTTGTAGTAGATTTTTTTCCTGGTCCTTAAGCTATTTAATTTGACCATAAATATGAGCTAGTAATGAAGAAGCATGGACTTAAGGTTTCAACATGTGAGAAACTAGAGGACTGAGAGAGATTCCCAAAATAAGACCTGTGTAGTAATGAGATAACTTTAGGAATAAGAGCATGGCTCTTAATATATTCAGCAACAGATCATATATTTATTTCAGATTTTTTTTCTAAAAAAAAATGCATTCTACTGATTATACCTAGGGCAAGATTCTTAAACTTGTAGGCTAGTGAAGAGAGTTTTGAAAACCAAGTGTGAATTTTGTCTGTGCATATTTGTTTGGCTCTATCTTTCTAGATAAATACTGCTGGGGATGACCTCAATGTGACTCATTAACAATCTAGTATTTAGAATTCAGAGTCATGGCCATGTCAGTCTAGAATATCAGTGTGCAAGGGCATCTTGTAGTAACTTTGCAACTAAAAGAAGTTGTAGCTAAGCTTCTGTAGACTTGTTCTACTTGATCAGATATATCTGAGGAAGTAAACCAAGTCTACAAAAGCTTATACTACTACTACTTTTGCACAGTTAGTGTCAAAGGTGCTACAAGATCCCTTTGCAATCTAGGATTTAGGTTGAGATCTCTGGCATCCATACTGTCCAATGTCAGCTATAAATTCCACAATGTTATAAATAGGTCTGTAATAGTATGTGAGCCTACTGATGAAGAAGCAATAAGTCTTTCTTGTAGTATTCTATGGTTCATACTTGTTTGCGGTTTCGTTATATTGAAATGTTCCATGTTTTTCTTCATAAGCATCAAACTGAGTTGTAATATTCATTACCTAATTATGATTGGATTTTATAACATTTATTATTTTATCTAAAAGCAAAATGGAGCAGTGGTACTTGGGGAATTATATTTTGCCCTTCCTTCTGATCTGTATCCTGGGTTTGCTTTACTGGCAGTAGGATTTTTCTTCCAGCAAGGAAACAACAGCCTTTGACAATGTCAAAAAAAAAAGGGGGGGGGAACATTATTAATGGAAGCAAGCATGGTATAATGGTTAGAGAGTTGAACTAGAATTCCAGAAGACCAGGGTTCAAATCCCCGTTTAGCCATGGAAAAGCACTGGAAGACACTGAGCAAGTCATACACTCTCAGCCTTGGAGGAAAGAAATAGCAAACTTCCTCTGAATAATTCTTGTCAAGAAAACCTACAATAGCAAAACAACCTTAGGTACAAACATTACAATTATCAGTAGCTGCCATTTAGTTACAGATTAAAAAGGTGAAAGAAATAATTGCATATATAGTTTCATTCTCAAACATAGATCCTAAAAAACAAATACAGTCGCCCCTCTGCTTTTGTGGGGGATCCGTTCCAGACCCCCCACGAAAATGGAAAATCTGCAATATTCAATCACCCTTGGAACATGCCCCATTTTGTCCCCCTCCATTTGCCACCCACAAACAGGCAAGGAATGCGGACTCCAAGGCCACGAAAACGGAGGCTGACTGTATACTTAAAATGAGTTGCATGCTTAGGTCTGGTATATTATTTATAAATGTCAAATATTTATTGACATGTATAATTTTAATACATGGACAGCAATAACCGCATCTGTTATTATTTTGAAAATGCATTTGTAAAAACACTTTTTTCATCCCTTGTCACCTAAAGTTAAAACCATGGGTTTATCGGGAAACACTTGACATGTTATTTTATTTTTTTGATAAAACTAGGTATTATAAGCCAGGTAGCTATAATCAGCCTGTGTAAAGAAGTTTCTTTTACTCAGAGGACAATACCCAAAAGGTATTATTTCTGCAGTGTGGATTGGAGTATAGACTGTAGCCCAGAAGGTGTAAGATCCTATTGTCCATTGACAAAGAAATCTCTGCAACTGCAAGCAACTTGGTACAGTAGCTGATGTCTATACCAGTCAGTGCTATACAAGGGAGCTTCCATCACTTCAAGTGGCAGTACTTGGAAGACAGACCCTCCAACATTTCACAGATGAAAACCAGGACAGGTAGGGCCAAGCAACATCAGAGTGTGGTCAAGATGGCAAAAGTTATAAGTAAGGAAGAGCAAACAAGCTAGGAGAGACTACAGCAGTTTGCTTTTCCTGAGTCTACTGGAAAAGGCAAGGTTACATCCCCTCCTCTTTTTCTTCTCCCTGCTGAGTTAATTTAGTGCAACCTACTTTTGCACACTGAGGCCCTAAGCAGACGACTAAAAAAGTCGTCTTCCGGGCAGGGAAGAGGAGGGGCAGCCGCACGAGCGGCGCCCCTTCCTCTCCCCGAGGTCGCCCCCAGAAGCGCCGGCCGTCCACACGGCCGGCGCACCGGGGATGACCTCACGGCGCAGCGCCCACATGCGCTGCGCCGTTTGAGTCAGGGAAAGTGCGCCCGACGCTTTTAGGGCGCACTTTCCCTGAAATCTAAAAGGAGCGCCAATTTGGTGTTCCTTTTAGATTCGCCGCAGGGGCGCTGCGGTGCGGAGCCTCCGCTCCGCCGGCGCCCCGACCCGCGGCGACTGGGAAGCAGTCGTCTGCTTCCCCCCTACGTTTACTTTGCAGCAGTTGAAGTAAGCTGAAGAAAAGGGGGAGAGTGGGAGGATGATAGAGAAACTGAAACATTTTAAAAGTAGCTAAAAATGTTGAACATAAAGAAAACAAAAATAATGACCACTGAGGACCTTCTCAAGTTCAACCTAGGCAATGAAGAAATAGAAATAGTAAAAGAATTCCCATACCTGGGATCAAACATTGATAGAAATGGGGACTACATTCAGGAAATCAGAAGACTAAGACCCCAATCCTCCCTTTTACCACCCTGAAAAGAGTAGCAAAATGCCCCACCTTTCAGAGGCGGCAAAAGGGCACCCTAAGAGCTGGCGCGCACCTCTTCCAGAACATGCCAGAACATTGCACTGGGAGGGCTCCCTGATGCCACGCGTGTGGCATCAGGACAGCACCGGCGTGGGGTTGGGGTGACCAGCGTGCGGCTGTCCCGCCCCATCTCTGCCTCCAGGAGCCCCTTTGGGCTGGTCTGCAGAGGCCCTAACAAAGGGGAGGGTGGCTATGAAAGAACTAGAAAAGATTCTAAAATGCAA